TGTGAAAATTTAAATCTTAAAGCACAACAACCGATATTAGACTCTAGTAATACTTTTGCTCGAGATGGAGATGAGTCCAGAGAAGATGTAATGTTAATCGGAATGTTAGCAAAAAAATCTTCAAAAACATTAACTACATCTTTTGTTGCTGTTATTAATTTATTATCATAATTTAATGCAAATTGATTATAGGCTAATTTAGATCTTCCGGTTTCTTTATTTATAATGCCCCAGATGGTTTTAATTTTATCAGAAGACTGGTTAATTTGTTTATTAATATAATTAGATTTAGCCGTAATACAAACTTTTTTAAAAATTTTTGAATAATTTTTCACATAAGTGGTGAATTTGTCATCAAATCGATATTTTTTTTGATCGTATAAATCAAACAAAATATTTCTACTTTTAAGTATACCTACTGTTGCCCATTCCGTGAATTTAGATTTAACATAAACTTCTTTTTTCTTGAAAAATTGTTCATATTCTCCTGATAGAATAGTAATTAGCTTGGTGTAAAGATAATCAGGATTATTACTAGATTGTAACAGCAAATCCAATTTATTTTTAATCGCGCTTTTGTATTTGTTAATATTGTAAACATTTATTTGTCTTTTTGATTTTTTATTATTGTTGACTTTATTGATCTGACTGTTAAACTTAACAACTTGACCACAGTGATCTGAAGGAAGTTTATTTATTATGAATTTTTCTGTATACTCACAGTTACAAAAAACATTGTCAAGACAAGTAGCAGACGTGGCAGTTACACGAGTGGGTTCATGAAAGACATGACTTAAACCAAATGATTGAAATAAACTAATAATTTTTGTACATGTGGGTGTGTTACAAAGAATATCAACGTTAAAATCTCCACATACAATAATTTTTTTAATACTATTAAATATTTTTTTTAATATATCCTCCATCACCCCTTCAAATACATTGTAATCACTATTAGGAGGCCTGTACACACATATAAGGATATAATTTTCTAGTTCTATACAAGATAATTCTATACAACACTCAATAGAAAGTCTAACAATGTCAGCACGTTCCTTTACTTTAATATTATTTCTTGCAATTATCATAGACCCGCCTCTGTTAACTGACTTTCTATTGAAGCAGCTGACAACGTTATAATTATTTAAATTGAACATCATATTGCTCTCTTTAAGCCAATGTTCTGTGAAACAGACAATATCAATATTATACTTTTCTAAAAATAATTGTATAATTAACTCGCTGCCGGGAAAACTTTGTATGTTCTGATGAACAATTATTAATTCTGATTGCTTTCCCTTTGTCTTTGTGAGCAGTTTAAATCTGCAGTCATAGTATTTATGTCACAAATATTAATAGAATTATTTGTTATGTCAGTATTTTTATGTTTAAGTTTACCATGTAAACTGTTCATGTAGTCAATATTATAAGCAACTAAAGTGGCTATTTTATTTTTAGATAATTTAGAGAGATACATTGTATCTTTTGTCAAATAAAAATCACTAATAAAACTATTAGTATCAAAAAATGTAAAAATGTCACTATGACGACATGTCAATGTATGTAATAAGTTGTTCAGGTAATGTACCTTACTGTTAATTTTTTTATGAAGATGTCCTTTTGTGTAAGGAAAAGCGCACAATACAATCTTATACACATTTAATTGTAATAAATATTCAATTCCTTTAATTACATCCTGCCTATTTAATTGAATACTATTACCAAAAAATAACACAATTGTGGTCATATTGTTCATTTTCGTAGACTTTATTTTATTTATTATTTGTGTAAATGATGCTTCTGGCATACAGTAGTTTAATAAATCACCCTTAAGATGATACTTCAAAATAGACCCAAAGTTACAGCCTATTCTGTCAGAGAACACCATTGTGCTACTCTTAGGGTTACAGTCACTGGCACAAACACCCTGAACTTCATTTTCCAGCACAGTTACAACTGAATTATTATTTGATATATTTGTGTGATTACATGTACAATGCTTAGTCAACGACTCAAAACGGTCAGCATTGTATTTACTGACATCAATCAGATCATCCATTGCTAAAATATGCTCCTGGATTTGTTTCTGAGAGATAATATACTTTGTATTTAAATCATGAAGCGAAGATTCTAAACTATTGATTTTTGAAGTTAGGTAGTCTGTATCAATGTCATATAACTTTTGGCTTTCCACTAACTTATTATTACATATATTAATGTAATCATGCAATTTTAAATTATTTAAAGTGTTTTTTTTCAATAACTGTCCCTTTTTGCAACGCTTATTTAATATATTCCGATTCTTAATTATAAACTTTTTTAGTTTTAAATATTTTTTTAATTTATTATTACTCAACATACAAATGTTACTGTTATAGTTACCTAATTTAGGTGATGTATCACTAGTAAGGTCAATTACAACAGGATGGGTGCATGGAACTGTAGTAGAAGGAGGCACACAGTCAACACTAATAAGTTCCTCATATAAATTACTAATCTCATTATTTTGTTGAGATTCCAATCTTGTGTCTAGATCATTGATTTTAGAATATGCCTGCTTTAACTCAAGCTCCAATTCAGTGATACGCCTCAAGGCTTGCTCATGAGTGTCACTACATTGATGAAAGCTACTTATTAGTTCTTGAAGCTGATCCCGCTGCTCAATAACTTCCTGATGGCTATTATGAAGTTCTGACAATTCTGATTTTAATTGGGTATTTTTATTTATAATTTTTAAAATTTCATCTTCACTCTCTTCTCTCTCCCTGATCAACTTGTCACTGAGATCTTTGGATGCCTGAAGTTCTTGTAGGGCCACTTTAAGCTTCATCTCTGTCTGCCGTGCAGTTGTGGAACGGGTAGATAGTGACATTATTGAATATATGAATAGTTACTAGGGAGAGTGAAGTGAGTTATTTCTAAAAGAAACAAAGTATCACAACGAGAACAGCAACTGAACCTTACTTATTTTGTGTTAAAATTTTGAATAATTTCTGTTAGATATATTTATACAACCTATATTTTACAAGATTAAGTAAATGGAATTAGATTGTGCTCCTTTCCTTCAAATTATATTAATATAAAACATAAAATTACTTACAATATATTTTGTGGGTATATTTTTTCCTTCGACGTACGCAACAACTGAACTTCACAATTATTAATATCAATTTAACTTTATGTGAATATTTCTATAAAACTTGTATATATTATGAAATTCTTTGAATAAGTCCAACAAATAGTAATAAAAATAGTTTTAAAATTAGTTGTTTACCAACGAAAGAAGTTTGACAGATGGCCGGTATACTATTTTGATGTCGATTTTTGCAAATAATACACTACCAAATTGTACACAAACAATAATCGACACTTATTGCACTATTATATCACTAATAACGATGTTGAAAATATAATATTCGTGTGATAGACTATTAAAAATTATTTATTTATTACGGCCAGCTGAAAATGACAACTGTCGTTGGTGTTGCTAGTCGAAGAAAAAAAACATTATCATTATTATTAAACAGTTATCATTACATTCAAATGTTGCCGGCTGACGATCCCATTGTACTATAAAAACCGTTTGATATGCCATTTAAAAATGAGCCCTATTCATATAGTACGAGATTCTAACCTTGCAGTAACACAGTTATCTAACGAGCACAGGAAGTAATGATTTTTAACTGTATACCCTCAAAAATATTTATTTTATATAGTTTATAAAATGTTTTTTTTTTTTTTGGAAAATAAATATTATTATTATTATTATATATCGTGACTGTTTTAACCTTTATGTATTAATGGTATTCGGTGGTAATAAATTCGTCACCTACTCTTCACCCCGCATTAGTCGCTGGTTCAGGGCGTTTACAAATATACCTCTGCCGATGTCTATTATCTAATCACTTTTGTGTACACAAAATAATAAATAAAAATAAAATAGTCCCTATACTTAAACCAAATACAACAAAAAATTGCACCAAGTTTTTAATATAATAATAATAATAATCTTAGGACAATTCACACAGCGCCATCTAGACCCAAGTTAAGCTAGCTAAAGCTTGTGTTATGGGTACTAGATAACTGATACAAATACATAGATATTTTTTTTTGTAAATACATACATATTATATATAGAAAACACGCAGACCGATACAAACAATCATACTCATGAATACAAATGTTTGTGCCGTGCGAGGAATCGAACCCGCGACCATCGGTCGTAAAGCGGTGTGCTGGACCGCTAGACCACCGAGGTCGTCAAGTTTAAATTAAATAATAGGAATATTTTAATTACACTACTTTACAATTTTCTTTTTCTTTTACCCAAAGACAGTTAATACTTAATGTGATTTCAACCTACTCTCTAATTATAAAAATACATGTCTTATATTTTTATCATGTTAAGTTTTTTTAATATACCCTCATTAAGTTATTTCGCTAACTGTGAATGAATACAAATGTTCGTGACGTGCGAGGAATCGAACCCGCGACCATCGGACGTAAAGCGGTGTGCTAAACCACTAGACAACCGAGGTCGTCATTTTACAAATGTTATAAGCTATGGAAGAGTGGAGCCTCCTGGCACAGTCATCTTTAAGCTTAAAAGGAGTCTGAAACAACTGTAGAATGTCGCTGTAAAATTGTGTTACCTATAAAAAGAATTATGAATTTTGAATAATACAATTGAATAGGCGGGGAAAAATGTTGGGGCACTTGGTACGACACGACGAACTAATTAACAACATTATAGAAGGAAAAATAGATGGAAAGAGAGGAAGGGGAAGACCAAGACACAGCTTTAGCTTTTGTTGATATATCAAGCAAGTTAAAGAAAAAGTTGGAGTCGTGTTGTATCAACAGCTAAAGGGACTGATAGAAGATCGTGGAAGGTGGCGGGAGCCCCACCGATAAGAGCACAGCTCTTAAATTATGAATGAATGAACAATGAACAATTGAATTAGGTTTGATGGTGAATAAAATAAACCTTAAAACATTATTCATTTATGATTTATTTTTGAATGTGCGTAATTTCTTAAACATTTCATACACACTCTCCATAGTAGTAAGAATAATGCTGATATCAATAACCACGTAACTTCAATCACAGACAACATCGATCCTCCGAAGCTCAGTGAAAGTATTCCTCCGAACATTCCTAAAAAATACATAAATATTAATCATTATCACCATTATCAATATCATTATCGTTATCGTTATCGTTATCGTTATCATTATCATTATCAATATCATTACCATTATCATTATCATCATTACATAGTATAAAACAAAGTCGCTCTCGCTGTTTGTCCCTATGTATGTTTAAATCTTTAAAACAACGCAACGAATTTTGAAGCGGTATTTTTAATAGAGTGATTCTAGAGGGATGTATTTTATATATAATACATGTACACCCGTCCGAAGCCGGGGCCAACAGCTAGTAATATTATAAATGCAGTAGTTTTTAAGTATGGATGTTTGTTACTCTTTCACACAAAAACTACTGAACGGATTTGATGAAACTTTTCAGTAATATAGCTTATGTATCAGAACAACATATAGGCTATATTTTTGATTGAAATTTCATGCGATTGCAACCGCGGGCACAACTAGTATGTAATAAATAGAGTAGTAATAAATCTAGTATGCATAGTAGAATTTTTAACAAAAAACTATCTCGTACCATAAGCTCGAAAAGCTGTCAGCTTTTCGAGCTTACACGCTTTATTTAGACTTAAAGCGTGCAAGAATAATAATAGGAACTTAAGTGATTTATTGTTATTGTTTCTTTATTTTTATAAATAAAACATATACATATTTAAACCTAAGACGTGTCTTGCTGCACTTACAAATGGTAGATTCGGTGAGAATGCTATAGCAATAAGTGGTTTTGTACCACATTTTATTAGTTAACTAGCTGTACCAACGACTTCGTACGCGTGGATTTAACTTTAATTTTAATTAAAATAAAGGTAGCCTAAGTTACTCCTTATTACATCAGCTACAAAAAAAGTTCCGTCAAAATCGGTCCAGCCATTTCAGAGATTAGCCGGAACAAACAGACAGACAAAAATAGTAAAAAATGTTATTTTGGTGTATGTACCTTATGTATATTCATATGCATTCCAATTTTATTTATGTGTATAGATAAAGCAAATAAATAAATAAAACTCTTCTTATTACTTACTTACTTCTTATTAAAAACCCTGTATTCATAGGAATACAGGGTTTTTAATTAGTTACTAACTAATTACTTCGTTACTAACACAGATTATTAACTGTTATTTTCACAAACATTCTTAAAAATCTTCCTCAAATTTAACATATTCAAGAAAAAGGAAAGCGAAGTGGCCAGTAAAAACTCAACTACCCTATAAAAAGTCTGTATCATGACAATATTTCTCTACTTTATAGTTTCGTGATCATTTCCTAGCGTTTATTTGTGGTCGCCGCAGTATGTCATGCTCCATTGCAGCTTATCGGCCGTCATATTTGGGCTTTCTCTCCTTTTATAGATATACTAGCTTTTGCCCGCGGCTTCGCTCGCGTTAATTTATCCCCTTAGGGGTGGAATTTATCACAATCCTTTCTTAGGGGATGCCTACGTCATAGTAGCTTTATGCATGCAAAGTCTCAGCCCGATCGGTTTAAAATTGACAAAGTTTCATACAAACTTTCATCCCCTTGGGGGTAGAATTAACCAAAATCCTTTCTTAGCGGATGCCTACGTCATAACATCTACCTGCATGCCAAATTTCAGCCGGATTCGACCAGTGGTTTGGGGTGTGCGTTGATAGATCAGTATGTCAGTCACCTTTGAGTTATATATATTTAGACTAGCTGTCCCGCCAAACGTTGTTTTGCCATAAAGATTAAAAGTGTTACTATCAGTACTAATATAAGTTATTAAAAAATAGGGGTCGGTGATAGAAGGGTGAAAATTTATGTATGTATTTGTAATGCCACATAATAAAAAAATTGACAAAAAAATTAAAATATAATTTTAAGGAACCCAATTTTTATACCCCTAAGGCGCCCCCCTTAGGGGTAAAAAAATTAGGTTCCTATTCTCAGACCTAATGAATATACATATAAAATTTCATCAAAATCGGTCAAGCCATTTCGGAGGAGTATAAACATGAAACCTGCGACACCAATTTTATAATTAAATAGTCTTTCACAATCCAACTCCCTTTTTCATCACCTAATTATTAATTATAAGTCATAATAATAAAAGATAAAAAATGAAAAAAGAAAAATGTTCACCTGACGACGATCGAAAAAGATATGAACAAAATGGATCGAGAAATATGTAAATAAATATATTTACCAATCATATAGTTGATGTCGATTAAGAAATGTGATCTGTAACAATTACATGTAGGCCTCCCAAAGAATACCCGCAACGAGGTCAATTCACTGATATTTTGACCGGCTCTGAAATAAAAGGACCGCTAGTTATGAATACTATAAGTAGATACTATTTATATACTTTTAGTTTGATTGTCACACATTTTGGAAATGTAAAATTACCGCAATTTAATAGAGCAATACCCAAAAATATTTCCGTTGAGCGATTGAATTCGTTAAAGTTTGAATTGGTGGTTTTAAATTTGTTTAAGACTACTTAAACTAACTCAAAACATCTGTTAAATAAGATGCTGAGACGCTAAGAGAAACTTGCTGTCCCCAAGTATTGCTTAGAAAAAGTCAATAGGTATTTTATGGGAATAGGTATAAAAATTTACAATAAGATACCAAAGGATATATTGGAATTACCCTTTAATAAATTCAAAATATCTGTTAATTCATATTTACTGAGCAAAGCCTATTACTCATTAAACGATTACTTGAATAACGAGCGTGTATGGCAATAGTTGTTCATGCACGGAATTTTCATTTAATATTAGACACCTATAAAAATATGAATTATAAATAAACTGGCTTCTAAAGAAAAGTAATTCAATTGAGTTTCTTGCTAGTTCATCAATTGAATCTATATACTGAACTGGACGGTAGGGAAAAAAATAAAATTGTAGTGTAAAATTTGACGTTCATAAGTGGCTAAAATGTTCTACAGTAATAAAAGATTTTTGAATTTGAATTTGTAAAACTATTATCTATTATTTAACTTTATTAAAGTAAACAATACAGAAGGTATATATTGGGTAGTGCTTTAGCAAACATACGTCCGTCTCTCGGGTTACTTTGATGTAGTATTGGTCAGCAGTGGACAACGTCAACAGCTATGTACTACTCCAACTGGGTTAATAGTCATAAGAGTTTACAGTCGTTGCTTCAAAAATACACTTTAATGTTAGTAGCAATAAAACATTGTTTACTTCAAGCCAAAAGTTTATGTATGTGTAATGGGATTATATTTTTTTTACTATATGAGAAGCATATAATTAACAATTTTTTTTTTCGGACTACTCTAATGCTATAGCATTAAAGTAGTCCGAAAAAAAATTGCGACAACCTTTATAGTTTCATCGGACAATAGGGGGCGAGTGCAGATGGCACTCCTAACCCGCGGAAGGACTTATGGAGCGGCTGAAGGCCAGCTACCGCCTGACGAATACGACTTTAGGCTGAGGGGCCGCTAGGGGTTCGAATCTCGGCTCAGGCCGTCGTAATATCGATCCCCGTTAGTAATGGACGGGGGATCGATCGGAGGCCAATTAACAAACTGCTACGTACGTAACTTATACCTTAATCGAAAACGAAAATATAGCGCGTTGTAGAACTCAACAACGGTAGCTTTAACTTGTGTTCAATAGGGTTCATAATTTGTCTACTTTGATTTATACCTATCTATTATATTATAATTTTGAAGTAGATAGATAGATAGAATATTCATAATAGAATATTTTTTTCTGTTTGAGTATTCAATTCAATTAGAGCTAATTGGTGGTTTGTATTCACACACATAAACTTAAACATGTAAAGAAATAATAAAATTATTTAAAAGAGCAACACGCAAGTTTCTTGCTCGTTCTTCTTGTGATGAGACAGCTTTCCGAATGAGCGGTAGAAAAAAAAATGTAATGACTATTCAAAAGTGCTTCAATGTAAGTTTATTTGAATAAATGATTTTCTATTCTATTCCATAGGTAAATTTGCAAACCTTAAATAAATAAATAACTATTAGATACGTTCTTACAACACACTCGCTGGTATTGTTTCTATCAGGAACGGTACAGTGTTGCTTTTCATTATATATTTCTTATCGCTGCACTCCATGTAACACTTGGGCTTGCATTCCCTTGGTTTCAATGGTTTGTAAACTGAAATATAATAAAATTATTAATAAGTCATTTCTTCAGTCAAGATCAAAAAGGATTTATTAATATAATCTAATATATAAAATTCTCGTGTCACAGTTGTCGTTCGCATACTCCTCCGAAACGGCTTGACCAATTCTCATGAAATTTTGTGGGCGTATTGAGTAGGTCTGAGAATCGGCCAACATCTATTTTTCATCCCCCTAAATGTTAGGGGTAGTCCACCCCTAATTTTTTTTATATTTTAAGGCAAAACAACGTTTGCCGGGACAAGTAGTAATACATAAAATTCTCGTGTCACAATGTCAGTTACCATACTTCTCCGAAACGGCTACATCGATTTTTATGAAATTTTATATGCATATTCAGTAGGTCTGAGAATCGGTTACTATCTATTTTTCATACCCCTAGGTGATAAGGGTTGTCGACCCCTAACATATTTTTTTTATTTTTTGGGCAATTTTTTTTATTATGTGTCATTATAAAATACATGTAGGGTTGTATAACCCTAAATTTTCACCCTACTATCACCAACCCTTATTTTTTTTATAGCGTTATTAATTTATATAGCAAAACAATGTTTGCCGGGACAGCTAGTAATTTATAAAATTCTTGTGTCACAATCGAAGTTACCATACTCCTCCGAAACGGCTTGACCGATTTATGCATATTCAGTAGGTCTGAGAATCAGCTACTATCTATTTTACATACCACTAAGTGATAACGGTTGTCCACCCCTAATATTTTTTTTTATAATGTGGCATTAAAAATATATACAACCCCAAACTTTCTCCCTTCTAATATCAAGATCCATTTTTAGATTTGAGAGGCTGATTGCGGAAAATGGAGTTCAACTTACATTAACATCCCTTATTTTTTAATAACGATTTTAATCTATACAATAAAACAAATTTTGCCTTTTTATTACGAAGGCCCAATGGGTAGTAATAAATAAATAATGCAAAAACTTACTGGTCACGTTATGTAGACAGTTCAAATCTTCAAATTCACAGATACGATGAGTTTTTACTGAAATTTAAACAATAAATTTGTATTGTGCGGGAATCGATTCCATGACCGCTTTCGCTTTACTTCCGGTGGCCACAAGTCCGATCCTCGCAAGATGCAAACATTTATACTCATAAAAATTGTGTCTATGTATTTATATCAGTTGCCTAGTACCCATAAGACAAGCCCTCCGGGGGAAGACGTTTATTTGCTACATATTGCTACGAATGTATTATGTCAGACTTCCACGCTTCAAAATCTACCCTGATACATTTCAAGTGCATTGATCATGATCTAACTGACCTGATTATCATCCTCCACCGATGCACCGCCAGCCTCAAGCATAGTGCAACCACCTGCACCCACGTGCACCATTCCATTATCACTCTTTTAAACAAAGCTCTACTTAAATTTGGACTTGATGGTGTTGCGTGAGTTTTCTAGCGTTATTATTATTATATAATGTAATATTTATATTTATTAATATTGCGTCTTGTATATTTGTACGTACACATCCGCAAATATGAATTAACATCCGCATAATATATTCAATGGTGCAAGTTTCGAAGTGTGCAAGTTTTAAATTGTAATTCAATTTAGTTTCTTGCCAATTCTTCTTAATTGCTTCTAACTACTGATTTAACTAACTACTGTTTACTGTTACTTTAACTACTGTTCATAAGCAGCTAAAATATCCTACACGAATAAACTAAAATACGTTTTTGAATTTGAATTTGAAGATGCATCTGCTTGTTTTTGTCTGTGTATTTTCTATATACATTACATATGTATGTATTTACAAAAAAAAAGTCTATCAGTTTTCTATTTATAATAGAACTTTAGGTTAGTTTGAGACTAGATTTCATTTTGTTGAGTATGACATTTTTGGCGATATTATTAATGTATTAATATTACGTCTCGGATATTTGTACGGCACACATCCGCAAGTATGAATGAATATCCGCATCATGCATTCAATGGTGCATGTTTCGAAGTGTGCAAGTTTTAAATTGTAATTCAATTTAGTTTATTGCCAGTTCTTCATCATCATCATCATCATCGCAGCCCGGAAGACGTCTACTGCTGGACATAGGCCTCCCCCAAAGATCTCCACGACGATCGGTCCTGCGCTGCTCGCATTCAATGCCTTCCAGCGATCTTGACCAGATCGTCGGTCCACCTTTCTGGAGGCCTTCCCACGCTGCGTCTTCCGGTCCGTGGTCGTCACTCGAGGACTTTACTGCCCCAACGGCCATCTATCCTACGATCTATGTGCCCTGCCCATTGCCACTTCAAAGTCGTAATTCTTCGGTCCAGTTCTTCTTAATTGCATCTATATACTGATTTGACGTTCATAAACGGCTAAAATATTCTGCATAAAATAGATTTCTAAAATTAAAGATGTGTTTGTTTGTTTATTTGTTGTAGTCTGGGTATAATCTATATATATTATATATGAACATATTTCAAAAATAATAATAATTTCTATCACTTTTTTAGTATTCATAATAGAACTTCAGATTAGTTTGAGATTAGATTTCGCTGTGTGTATTTTTTGGCGATATTACTAATGTATTAATATTACGTCTCGGATATTTGTACGGCACACATCCGCAAGCATTAATGAACATCCGCATCATGCATTCCGTGATGCAAGTTTCGAAACTGTATTTATCTGTATGTTCCAACTGTATCTCGTCGTGGAACCAACACGCTCGTTTGGATATTTCGGCATTCCGGATCCAGTAGTCCGGCTGGAACACCAACGGTTCAACTTTCATATCCAAACTATCTCCTGGCGCGACGAATTCGTACAATACTGTAGTTTCAGGGTAATCGGTCGGATCGCTTAACAATACCTGAAATAAATTAAAAAATAGGGGTTGATGATGGTAAATATCAACTATATGTATATAAAAAAGCTTATTATAAAATTGAAGAATTTATAAATGATAATAATGTTTTAATAGAAAATATCTAAATTAAAATTCATAGCGCTGACAATGTTATCTGATTGAACAGAGATTAAGTGCGTAGCGGTTTCTATGTTGATTATCGCATGCCTAATCCTTGTTGTTAATTAAATATCAATCAATATTATATTTAAAAGAGCAACACACAAGTTTCTTGCTCGTTCTTCTTGTGATGAGTCTGCATTCCGAATGAGCGGTAGAATCAAAACACTTGACTATTCAAAAGTGCTTATATTAAGATTATTTCTATTTGCTTTTCTATCGCTATTAATGATGGTAGAAGGGTAGAAATTTTGATTGTAGGTATTTTTTTAAAATACGAAATATGAATAGTATATTTTTGTGGGTGGATTACCCTTAGGTGTATAGTATAGTAGTATAATATAATATACAACCTATTCTCAGACCTGCCGATTATATTTTTATTATCTAAAATAAAAGTAGCCTGAGTTCCATTAGCTAGCTGCCACCAAAAACAGTCCCGTCAAAATCGGTCCAGCCATTTCAGAGATTAAACGGAACTGACAGACTGACAGACAAAAAATGTATAAAATGTTATTTTGGTATGAACCATATTTATATTCATATGCATGTAGTAAAAAACGGTTATTTCAATATTACAAACAGACACTCCAATTTTATTTATATGTATCGATTTATTCGTATCTATGTATATATTCTATGTATAATATATATATATATTTACAAAAAAAAAATTATCTATGTACTTGTATCAGTTATCTAGCTTAACTTGGAACTAGATGGCGCTGTGTGAATTGTCCTGAGATTATTATTATTATTATTATACATTATTTATACGCATTTACATATATGTTACAGAATATCATAAAAATCAATGAAGTATATCATTCATAAATACATATATATTATTGTTATTGAATAAATATTGGAATTGGTTACATTTGCTCCAAAATATGGTACAGTGGCATAGCTGGGATAGTCATCTGGTTCCACATTGAAGACGACGTGAAGTCCGGAGGTTCTGTAACAAGTCATCATACGTGATGGATATAATTTTTTTTTTGGAGATGATAATGAAATAGTGCCCCACGCCTGCACTAATGGTTTACGCTGGCAGAACACCAGTGGAGGATGATAAGATGAATATGAGCTCAGGTTAGTCAGCCCGTCGTGACAAATTCACTAGGAATTTATAACGATGGTTCCCAGGAGGAACCGCGTGGAGGTCGACCTAACATGGTATTGCTAGCAATGGGGGTTACTAGTTCCCATTACTAACAATCCCATTTCTCCCGATGTATATAGATTAGGTAGGATAATAAGTCATATAAATAATTGGCTGAAACGTTTTGCGTGAAATTTATATTTTCTAAACAAAAAGTAGACTAAGTTACTTTTTATAACATTAGCTTTTTGAGAGTGAAACTGAAGCTAACAGTTTCAGAGATCAATAATAACAAACAGATATACAAATACATTTTCTTTATTTGTTTATTATATATGTATTTTATGTACTTGTATATGCATTTAGTGAGTAGCTGTTCGTTTGAAGTTGCAATAATTTTTTATTTAACTTTTTTTTTATTGGGCGATTGGGCTATTATCAGGTGCTATGACCTGTAACACTGCGACGTGTATATATTTATCGTGCTCGCCCTTATTCAAAGTTCTCTACTTAGACCAGTAAGGGACAAGAATTGAAGGATATTCTTAGGAGCGATGGTTTTCTCCTCAGGATATATTGTATAGTTTCCAAAGGAGATATTTCGTTTATGCGTAAATTTATGAGTATGGATGACTACTGAATCGATTTTAATGAAACTTTACATTAATATAGCTTATACGTAAGAATTACACATATGTAATTTAATTCGAATAAAACTACAGTCACAGACAGTAATACATCAGAATAACACATAGTCAACCTCACGCGCATGAAACCGCAGGCACAGCTAGTAAAATATAAAAAGCCTAGCCTAGCCTATACATCAAAAATAAAGAAGAAAGAAAGAAAGAAAGAAAAATATTTTATTCAGTGGAATGTAAAAAATACAATATAAACAACAAACGAAAAAAAAAAGAGCAATTAAAATGTACATATAACTAAACTTAATTTACCATAATTGAAAATAAACATAAAATAATCAGTTTTTACATCCAAAAATGCACTGAAATGGCTCCACTCAGCTTTAATGTATGTCCTGGGTGAACATACAGCTGGTTTTCAGTGGCACCAAAAATATATATATAAAACGGGGGGAAGGGGGTTCAGGGGGGGGGGGGAGGGAGAGGGCACTATTAAAAATATTCAAAGCGAAGTAAATGTCAATTCATTGAGTTACCTCCCAGACTCGGAGGTAGCAACAATACGAAACCCTGGCAATTTATCATCCGAGCGATCTTCATAATATTCCAGATTCTCATCGTTGAGCAATAGGTTACTGAAATAGAAATAAACTTTCCTATAAATGTTATTATATTCAACTAAACTAATATTGTACGGCAAAGAGCAAAACATTTTATATTTTTCCTAAGTGAGCATATTGAGAAGCTATAATATATATAAGGCTTGCTAATATAATAGTTATATATAAGGCTTGCAAAAAAATAATTGAAAATATAGGTATATTATTGTACTCGTATATGACGACGGTTGAGATCATTACCTTACAACCGATGGTCGCGGGTTCGATTCCTGGCAAGACACAAACATTTATATTCATAAGTATGATTGTTTGTATCGGTCTGGATGTTTTCTATGTATATTATGTATGTGTTTATAAAATAAATATATATATATATTAGTATCAGTTGTTTAGTACCCATAACACAAGCTTTAGCTATCTTAACTTGGATCTAGATGGCGCTGTGTTAATTGTCCAAGATTATGTTTTTATAATTTACTTTTTAAAAACTTTCATGCTATTTTTTATTTATAAATTGGACGGAACTGAAAATTCTATCTACTTATTATTAACCGGGTCTTATCACGAACTAAATTAATAAAGTAAATAAAGATATATACCTATCTCGACCTTTCGATTAGGTTGTGTTAAGACCCGGTTAATAATATAAATAAAGTCTATTAAACACGAAAGTTAAAAAAACCCTAACTGCTTAGTAAATATATCAACTATCTGCTTCCCAAAAATCTTCTCGTAAGTAGGTCCACATGTCCATATTCTCGTAGGTAAATATTCTCAAGGAATACGAGTAAAAAATAACAACACTATTTGTTACGGGCTATCGTTGTGAGAGCTACACTTAATATGATCACACGTCAGGAACAGGGGACACCGTTCTATCACGACATTATGTCGAGTAATGCTATTGTAGGACCCCAAATGTTGTACAAACATACTTACTTATATTATGGGACTTTACTAGTATTATGAACGAGAACGTTTGTGAATATATATACGTATGTTTGTTACTCTTTCACGCAAAAACTATTGTAAGGAACTTGATGAAACTTTTCAGTAATAACAGGCTATATTTTTGAAAGGTATTATGTAAATTGGGGGAATTATAATGGTACATGTGAAGTGTGATGCAAAAGAAGTTGCGCGTGTAAGTTATTAGAGAAATAAATCTGTTACTATGTATAGCTATTTATTTTCACTGAATCACTGGCAAGAAATGCCAGGATTAACACATTCAAAAGCCCTAATATCGGGCTACTCGATCAAATACTCCAATAGACTACTGCTATTGAGTAAAAACAACATATGCTTGATGACTAGGGCCCTCACAGGACACTGCAAATTAAACAAGCATATGGCTATACTAGGCCTATGCACGACAAGAATCTGCAGATTCTGCCAAACTGAAGAGGAAACGCCGCATCACATCCTATGTGGTTGTAGCCCACTCATGCATATTTGGAGTATAGCTTTGTATGCACAAGAAACGTGGACATTAACTCAAAAAGAAAAGAACAAATTTAAAGCTTTTGAAATGTGGTGCTGGGGAAGGATGGAAAGAATTAGCTGGAAAGATAAAGTAAGACAAGCACAGGGAGAAAGAAAAAATATATTTAATGGGATAGAAAGTAGAAGAGGAAAGATGTTAGGGCACTTGATATGGCACGGTGAATTTTTGAAACTAATTATTGAGGGAAAGATAGAAGGAAAGAGGGGGAGTGGAAGATCAAGGCACAACGTCTCGTCGTTTATATTTAGTGAGGTAAGATCTGACAAGACACACTTCAAATTAACTATCTCACATACATATTTTAATATATACATATATACAGTCTTCTTCATTCTTCTATACGTCAGTTAAATTCTCCTAAAATTAACTTATATTAATTATCAAGACTTCATCTAAATCGATTCAGCCGGAATCGATTTAGATGAAGTCTTGATAATTTTTTTACAAAGTAAACCTAGGTGAATTTTTTTTTCAGATCGTGAATTTTAGTAAAACGATATAGAGCAGGATGGAGTGACGTAGAACAGGATGGAACTTACTCATCAATGCCGTCGTGTAAAGCAACGTAGTTGAAAGCGCAGCAGTACCCATGAGAGGTTTTAATCAACCCAAATATATCGTTGCAGTTCTTTTGTTTTCTATTAAAACTGCAGTACAACAGGAGATTCTCACATTTCTGATGCAACTGAAATAGAATATTTTCATAATTATACTAATACTATGATAATTTAATAGTCTCAATGAGATATAGATATATTAACAGTTTTAAAAAAGTGATTACACTAATAAAAGCTTACGTAATGTCAACAAACTAGTTTTACCTAAGTGCCGTTTGACGAAAGTCAGTAATTCGTTTTATGGAAATTGCGTAAGGTTTTACAACAAACTCCCAGAGTCTGTAGTCAATTTGCCAGAAAAAAATTCAAATATGTCATAAAATATTTTCTTTGTAAAAATTATTTTAAAATTGAAGAATTTATAAATGATAAATAATGTTTTTGTAGATAATATCTAATTTAAAATTCATAGCGCGGACAATGTTATCTGATTGAACAGAGATTAAGTGCGTAGCGGTTTCTATGTTAATTGTCGCATGCCTAATCTTTGTTGTTAATTAAATATAAGTAAATCAATATTTATTTAAAAGAGCAACACACAAGTTTCTTGCTTATTCTTCTTGTGATGAATCTGCATTCCGAATAAGCGGTAGAATAAAAAAACTTGACTATTCAAAAGTGCTTACATTAAGTTTATTTAAATAAAGACTATTTGTATTTCTATTTCTATAACCTACCAGCTGACCTCCGCAACTTAGTCTGTATAACATAGAAAACATCCATCCACTTGCAATAATATGATTGTTTGTATTGATCTGAATCAATACAAACAATCATATTCTTGCAAGTTCTTCTCAATTGAATATGTATACTGAACTGGACAGTAGGGAAAAATTTATATTACAAAAATTTGTCATTAATAAGCCGCTTAAAATGTCCTACATGAATAATAATAATAGTAATAATAATAATTATAATAGTAATAATTGTGGAGAAAACCAGCAAAAGCTGAGAAAAAAAAAATAATAATAATAAATTTCTACAGACAGATTAGGCCTACATTTGTATTATGGTATATCTACCTGACATAGAACATTGTTATGTACTTGGCTTAGGCCCGTACATACCAAGATTACCGGCGAAAGTCGAGAAAAAATAATATATAAAAAAAAATAATAATAATAAATAAATAATAATAATAATAATTTATTTATTTGCCTGCTACATGGTAATTTTGATCTTACAATATAATATAAGTACCTACACGACATGCAGCACCCCGTAGAGGTATGCAAATATTGAAAATGATATCATAATGAACGTATTTGTGTAAATACATAATATACATAGAAAACATCCAGACCCATACAAACAATCATACTTATTCTAGTCTACTCTCAAAGAGTTTATATAAAAAAACTTTTTGCCTCGCACAACCACATTGTGGAATCTTCCAGCAATGGTATTTCCGAACCGATACGATATTGAAACCTTCAAGAAAAGAGCTTATTCCTTTTTAAAAGGCCGACAACGTACTTGGAATTCCCTGGTATTGCGGGTGCTCATGGGCGCGGTAATCACTTACCATCAGGTGAGCCGCATGCTCGTTTGTCCACTGCGTTATAAAAAAAATCGAACTCCTAATCATCGTACGTAAGGCTGTGTATTAAACCGCTAGACTACCGAGTCCGTCAAATAAAGTAATATAATGTTTATGCTTTCACCCTTGAAGAAACTCATAATATCTTTATATTACAGTTAATAATATAATTACGTCTTCCATAATGGTTTCTATGGTGAAGTAATGGTGTTTCAAGAGCCTCATAATATGTTTATAATGGCCAGTGTGTGTACTGTTAACACCATAATTCTTCAAGTAAACGAGATCCCTGAAGAAGTTGTTAATTTCACTTTGGTTTCTATTGTAACTCAACCTGCAAAGAAACAATATATGTATTTTATAAATTTACTAGCCTCTCGCCCCGGCGTTGCACGGGTGTACTGTATTATATATATAATACGGTATACGGTGAATACACCGTATACCGTATACAATAGTATATATATAAACCTGCCTATTGAATCACTCTGTCTATTTAAAGAAGCCAATTGTTATAAGAAAAATCACACAGAGAAGCACGATGATCAGAAATTCTAAAATATCACTAAATTTACTATTTAAAAAAATAGACGGATTTTCGATAAAAGAATATCAAAGAAAATATAATTAAAATAAATAAATAAATAAGCTTGAACAATTAACACAGCGCTATCTAGTCCCACGGTAAGCAAACTTGTGTTATCAGTACTAGACAACTGATATAAATACATATATATATGTATATTTTGTATAAATAATATAGATAGAAAACACTCAGACCGATACAAACACATGAATACAAATGTTTGTACCTTGCGAGGAATCGAACCCGCGACCATTTGATGAAAAGCGGTCTTCTATACCGCTACACCACCGAGGCCGTTTTCCATCCATAAGAGGATGATATTTTATAAAAGAATATATAAAAGAATATAAGGAAATATAATTATTTGCTATACTTACAGTAACCGTTCAATATACTTTGTTTCCTTCAATGATATTGTGTTGAAATTGCAAATACTGACGGCTGGGAACGGTACTTCAGACACTTTACAATTGGCGTTTATCTACAAACAATCTAAATATATATAACTCAAAGGTGACTGACTTAGTGATCTATCAACGCAGAGCCCAAACCACTGGACGGATCGGGCTGAAATTTGGCATGCAGGTAGATGTTTAATTGATTAATTCCATGATTAATTCTACCCCCAACGGGATACAATAGGGGATCAGTTTGTATGAAACTTTGTCAATTTTAAACCGATCAGGCTGAGACTTTGCATGCATAAAGCTACTATGACGGAGGCATCTCCTAAGAAAGGATTTTGATACATTCCACCCCTAAAGGGATAAATTATCGCGAGCGAAGCCGTGGGCAATTAAAATATAAGTGATTGTCTGTTTAATAATAATCTCAGGACAATTCACACAGCACCATCTAGACCCAAGTTAAGCTAGCTAAAGCTTGTGTTATGGGTACTAGATAACTGATACTTATACATAGATATTTTTTTTTGTAAATACATACATATTATACATAGAAAACACCCAGACCGATACACACAATCATACTCATGAATACAAATGATTGTGCCGTGCGAGGGATCGAACCCGCGACCATCGGTCGTAAAGCGGTGTGCTGGACCGCTAGACCACCGAGGTCGTCAAGTTTAAATTAAGTAATAGGATTATTTTAATTACACTACTTTACAAGTTTATTTCTTTTACCCAAAGACAGTTAATACTTAATGGGATTTCTCTTATTATAAAAATATATGTCTTATAGTTTTATCACGTTAAGTTTTTTTAAGTGGCAATGGGCGGGGCACATAGCTCGTAGGACAGATGGCCGTTGGGGCAGTAAAGTCCTCGAGTGGCGACCACGGACCGGAAGACGCAGCGTGGGAAGGCCTCCAGCAAGGTGGACAGACGATCTGGTCAAGATCGCTGGAAGGCATTGGATGCGAGCAGCGCAGGGCCGATCGTCGTGGAGATATTTGGGGGAGGCCTATGTCCAGCAGTGGACGTCTTCCGGGCTGCGATGATGATGATGATGATGATGAAGTTTTTTTAATATACCCTCATTAAGTTATTTCGCTAACTTGTTACTGGTGCTGAGTTAATGTTCACTTTTGTTGTATTTATCTTAGAATTAAACATTTTGAATATACAAGTTTTCGCAGAGCGTACCGGTTATGTTTTGGATACTAAAGTGAATTGTATTAGGGTTTATCCCGGTCTTAGTTGGGCCTGGGGGAGAGTTGCAACTAGTTAATGTGAGTGTTAATGCATTCTAAAAGGGTCTTTTAAACCTACACCCGTGTCACAAGTCACGGCCGCTACTTGGATTTTCCCTTGCGGTAGCCGGCTTCAAAGCCTAAGTTGTCTTCTAAATTAATATTTCTTAGACAGTGTTTCAATTATTGTAATCCTTGAAATACCAATAAAAGGCATCTTGCCTATCATATTTCCATAATACTGTTTATATATATTTGTGCCTACACTTGTAACATTTCTGTCGACACTTGAGGCCCTTCGATTAGTTTACGTCTCCACTAAAATAGATTTAAATCAAGTGTAAAATCAGCCTACGTCCCGACTCCACGTCCACTACCAATAAACTTAATAATAATCTATAAAATTAATAATCTATACATATAAATAAAATTGGAGTTTCTGTTTGTAATATTAAAATAAGCGTTTTACTACATGCATGTGAATATAATTACGGTACATAGACCAAAATAATATTTTTTACAATTTTAGTCTGTCTCTTTGTTGTGGCTAATCTCTGAAAAGACTGGACCGACTTTGACGGGATTTTTATTGGTAGGTCCTGATGTAATAAGAAGTAACTTAGGCTACTTTTATTTTAAAAATATAATTTATAATTCCACGCAGACGAAGTCGCGGCTACCACTAGTTATCTAAATTCATCATCATCATCATCATCGCAGCCCGGAAGACGTCCACTGCTGGACATAGGCCTCCCCCAAAGATCTCCACGACGATCGGTCCTGCGCTGCTCGCATCCAATGCCTTCCCGCGATCTTGACCAGATCGTCGGTCCACCTTGCTGGAGGCCTTCCCACGTTATCTAAATTATAATTGAGCAAACATACCTGTGTAATTATCTGGTCTTCATTAAACTTATTCTTTATTATCATTCCAAAGAAAATAGTCAACGCAATATTCGCTGTCATCAGGAGGCCCCAGATCAATCGTGTATTGCCATTCTTCTCCGCGAGATGGGCAGTTCCGTGTATTGTTGATATATTCTCCACCACGGTTTTAAAGAGATTGGTATTTCTTTTTTGCATTATGAAGGTAGCAGGAATTTCAGACCTACCTTGTTAGTTGCTTCGTAACTAGATTTTATATATATTCTTTATTGCCTTTTTAAATACAGTAATAAACTTAAATATATACAGAGTGAGCAATGGTGGACTTATCTCTAAAAGAGATCTCTACCAATCAACCCATCAGTGAGGCATAGCTATGAAAGCAACCAATTGATAGACGATGGAGCGATAATGTTAATCTTTCTACACCAGCAGCTTGTGGGTTAACTATACGCTTGCCACGCTTCTGTAGTGCATCCACAATGTTTGCAGCATCATCTACAGACGACCTGTATGCAGATGCAAACAGATCGCCTCTCTATTCCACAGGCTGCGTGGCAGCAGTAACGGCATTCTAAAAATGCTGTGCAATAAATTTGACAGCCCAATACTTTTTTTTTTGGATCCAAATTGTTACGGTTTAAATAATATGTAATTTTAGGTATACTAACATAGGCTAAGTACAATTGTTATTAACAATTTGGATCTCTGTTATCTGAATAAATAAATTTAAATAAATATATAGTATATATGTTATCTAGTACTAACCTTATCGTGAAACTAAATGGCGCTGTATGAATTTTCCTGGAGTTATTATAATTATTATTTTAGGATCAGTTGACTAAACTAAGACATGGGCATTACCATACATTAACATACAGTTAACTGACGGGTGTGTTCTGCTTTTATAATTTTATTAATTTAAATGAAAACTTTACAAGGGTTTTAATGATGCCGCATTGAGTTAATGGATTCTCTGTAGAAGCATGTTTTTATATCACTTTAATAGCTGTCTTAATGGACAGAAGAACAAACATTAAGAAAGTAATCTTGATTTATATATAAAAGCAATATGAATGTGACATATAAAATATATCGATAAATTAAATTATTGATTACTCGACAAATGTTTCGACTCCGTAAACGAGTTTTTAAATGTATAATAATGTAATAATAATAATATATATTTATAATTCTCTGATGACAATTGTTTTAATAATTAAATAATATTTAATATTTATATATTTTGCATGCTCAATGAGGCAAAACATAATGGGTCATTATATTACAATAACAATCAATGTAAACCTATGTTTAGTGCAAATAAGTTTGATTTGATTTGATTTGATCGAAACTCAGAACAATGTAAAGATTTAGAGATAGAGAGCTATTATTCGTCCGCATATTCATAATACCTTACTAATATTGTAATTGAGAAAGTAACTCTGTCTGTCGATAGTCAGACAGATATATCTCGCTTTCACGTTACAACTATTGAACCGATTTAAATGTTTGGTACACAGTCCAAACTCTGTGAAAGAACATAGGTTACTTGTTAATGCGCAAAAAGGGTTGTAAGGGGTTGAAATGAGGGATGGAAAGTTTTATAGAAGAATAGTCATTTTTAAAGCTAGATACCTGAAACTTATTTTTAAACTGTTGATTGAGTTTTATGGAATTCGGTATATCGGATATTCGTCATTTTTGATGATAGAATTATGAAACTTTTGTAATTTTATAATATAAATATATTGGCAATTAGCTGTAAGTTATATTGTACTGAGTCCTTACTGAAATTCTAAATGGGAAGGTAACTCTGTCTGTCTGTCTCGCTTTTCAAAACTACCGAACCGATTTAAATGAATTCTGTCAAATTCAAATTCAAATTTTATTCATGTAGGTCTATTACAGACTCTTATGATATGTCAAATCTACCATCAGTTCGGAATGATTTCGAGATGAGAAGAACTGACAAGAAACTCGGCTCGTATTTTTTTTTTAAATGTTGTACATATTTACAATAATACAATTTCATTTAAAATTCAAATTTGGGAGAATAGAGTGACCACCAGAATATGCTATTGAAACAAAATATATATATATATATAGAAAATCGTCATTTTTGAACTTTAACTATAAAACTTTTTTTGGCTTTTTTTAGGTTAGGTTATTAAATATTTTTTATATATATATGTAAGGTCACTGTTTTACGCAGACGAAGTCGCGGTTACAGCTAAGAATTTAATATTTCAAGTATATTTGCGCCAATGATTTCTTCGCTATATGATATATAGAATACATCTATCAGACAGCCAGGATTGGTTTCTTTACATTATTTCGTCCAGTTCATTTTAGTTTATAAAAAAAAAGGTAGATTATTCACCCTCGAGGACATAGCTGAACATCTGTGTTTTGCTCGTTGAGTGATTCTCCACACTGAGCTATGTACCAGTTTTGTATTGCTGTAGCACACACTTGCAGGTTTACCATTATTGAATTGTTATATTATAGGTACTTGTCATGTGATGTTATAATTAAGCCTATATGTGTGTACTAAGATACACATAAAAAATTTATCTATCTATTTATCTATCTTTATATAATAGGTTCATATATTATTTTTTTATACATCATTATATTATGATGTTATACGGAGGAATGAGGATCATGTCCTATGGAAAGTGTATAATATGAATGTAGATGGATGTAAAGGGAGGGGACGCCCTAAGAAAAGATGGATGGATTGTGTGAAAGATGATTTGAATAAAAGAAGAGTATGTACAGATATGACCACCGATAGAGAGCAGTGGAAGAGAATGACATACTCCGACCACAAATAATGGGATAAAGGCGAGGCAATGATGATGATTATATTATGATATTACCATTTCAAGATCTATGTCTATATATCTATAGCACGTAATTAATATGTATGAGTATGATTGTTCGAAACGGTCTGGGTGTTTTCTATGTATAATATGTATATATTTACAAAAAAATATCTATGTACCTATATATGAATCAGTTATCTAGTACCCATAACACAAACTTTAGCTAGCTTAACTTGGGTCTAGATGGCGCTGTATGAATTGTCCTGAGATTATTATTATACTGAATAGCAACGGAGAGAATATTTGTCTATTTAAAAAAAAATAATGAGAACTCGTTAATTGCAAAAACATGTTTCATTACAAGGGCTCCAAGTATTCTTGTAGGTTATATTATTAATATTAAGTACTTTAATATCTCCAATATATATAAGTAAGACAAAGTAGCTAGACAACAAACGATCGAATAGTAAAGGGTTCTCAAGAGGATTCTGTGAAAGTCAAGCGGCCCTGATTAAGATGTAATATCATGAAATCTTAACTTTAGTAGCTGTACTCGCGACTTCGTCCGCGTGAAATTTAACAAAACTTTAATTAGAGAATTTTCTAAAATAAAAGTAGCCTTAGTTACTCCTTATGTCAGCTACCTGCCAATAAAAGTCTCATCAAAATCGGTCCAGCCATTTCAGAGATTTGGAAATTTGGAAGCCCGGAACAAAAATTGTAAAAAATGTTATTTTGGTGTATGTACCATATTTATATTCATATGCATGTAGTAAAATGGTTATTACATTATTACAGACAGACACTCTAATTTTATTTATATGTATAGACTAGAGATTTTTATCATATAATTGGAAAAGAATCTGACGGCCTATCTGGTAGTATGTGGTAACCGTCGCCTATATATGGTGTTTGAATATCACCATGGTCTACAAGTTATGGTGTGACGACGTGATAGCAGTTCGGAGACTAAGATTTCACTTTACTAAACCTATAACCCTTTTTTTATTGCATAGAAATATCTTCAAAAAACCATCCTCCCGCCCGAGGACCAGGAGAATAACGAGGAGGTGTATGGGATTACTTACCTACTAAAAAAACCCATTGCCGGAGTCACAAGGTGGCGTCTACGATTCCATTGGCGTCAGGCCGCCCTGTATGTTATAGGGTAGACCCTATCCCGTTGTTAGGGCGACCTATTTCACCTTAATCGTGACGAGTAAGGTGAAATAGGTCGCCCTAGGGTGAAGTAGGTCGCCCTAACAACGAGATAGGGTCTGCCCTATTATGCCCTTACTCAATTGTGGAATCGCACGCCACTTTGATTTTTTAAAATTGATTTCTATCCTTGACTTGACTCCGTTCCTTATTCGTCACGAGTAAGGTGAAATAGGTCACCCTAAGGTGAAATAGGACGCCCTAACAACGAGATAGGGTCTGCCCTATTACGCCCTTACTCAATTATGGAATCACACGCCTCTTTGATTTTTAAAATTGATTTTGATCCTTGACTTGTCTCCGAACAAACAAACAAACACAAGCTGAAAAGCAAGCTGCTTGGCAGCTGGCATGCATAGGCAAAACTGGGGTAACAACGCAAGATATTTTACTATATCTATAGAAGATACAGCATTATTTAATAATGCACATACTGTTATTATTATATGTGTAAATTTTATATGCAAAATACTTGTTTATAAGAAATATTAAGTGTGAAACAAGTTTGTACATCAAGGGTTCTAAATAATAATAATATTCTTGGTCAATTCAGAGTTTGTGTTATGTATTCCACGACAACTGATACATAAATTAGGATATATATTTGGTTGTAAATCAATACATAATATACATATATAATATCCAGACCATACAAACAATCATACTCATTAATACAAATGCTTGTACCGTGCGTGCAATCGAACCCTCGATCATCGGAAGCAGAGATGTTATGGATATGAAATGTCGGATACAGATAGGTTTCGGATATAGGAATGATTATTATACCGGATACGGATACGGATGCGGATATGAAATTATTTCGGATTATCTGTTAGTTTCGGATAATTTCGGTTACGGATATTATTTTTTAAGGAATGTCAAAAGTGAAATACAGATAGCTAATAAAATGCTTACATATCGTGTCTCTATTAGGCTCCGCCCCTGTCCGAAAATTTTATTTCGGATTCAGTTACGGTTACGAATATTTTTTTAAATCGGATATCCGATAGTTTCGGTTACGGTTATGGAGCTCCCTAACATCCCTAATCGGAAGTAAAGCGGTGTGTTAAACCTTTACACCACCTGAGTCTTCAGTAATCATCTTAATTACTATAAAATTATTCGTATGAAAAATTACTCGTATTAATT